AAGTAGAGCATACTGTAATGGTTGAATTGATGGATTAGTACTGGGGAGAGCCGAGTTCAAATCCCCACTGTGCCATGGCAGCTTCTTGGGTGACCTTGGGCCAGTCACACTCTCAGAGCGACCGACATCACAGGGTTGTTGTGAGGATAAAAAAGGAGGAGGGGGTAAGGTGTACACCCCTCTGAGCTTCTTGGAGGAAGGGTGGCTTAAACATGCAGCAGACGGGTCTTTGAACCTTGTACCTCCTTCTGGAGCTGCGGTGGCTCAAGTGGTTAAGACGCTGAACTGCAGGCTGTGGAAGGTCGGTAGTTCAGCAGTTCGAGACCCGGGTGCCGCATGACGGAGTGAGCTCCTGTCTCTAGTTCCAGCTCCTGCCAACCTAGCAGTTCGAAAGCAAGAAATTGCAAGTAGATAAATAGGGACCACTTCGGTGGGAAGGGAACAGCATTCCGTGCGCCTTGGTGTTTAGTCATGCCGGCCACATGACCACGGAAACGTCTTCGGACAGTGCTGGCTCTTCGGCTTGGAAACGGAGATGAGCACCGCAACCCTAGAGTTGGAGTCAACTGGCTTTCGAGCAAGGGAACCTTTACCTTTACCTTTACCTTTACCTCCTTCTAATCCAAGGTACATGCATGACGAAGTGACAGTGAGGAAGAGTTGCTCCATGCACACTCAGGGACACTTGGCACCTGGCTCTGGTCACCGTCCTACATGCCACCCGGGGCTTAGTTCAGGTGTTTGTGCCGGATTCTTGGTTGGAATCCTGACTCCACCCGGGGCTCTGGCTGGTGTGCAGTGTTCCCTCTAAGCTGAGTCAAGTGTGAGCTAGCTCACAGTTCTTTAGCCTCCGGCTCACACATTTTTGTTTCAGCTCAGGAAGGGATGGCTCCAGAGCAAACTGATTTATGCAGCAGCCAAATCGCTCGCTCACAACTTTAATGTCAGTAGCTCACCAAGTAGAATTTTTGTTCACAAGACTCCACAGCTTAGAGGGAACACTGCTGGTGTGCCCCACTATTGTGTTGTTTTTGTTCTTTCTGTTGCCATCCGGTGCAGAGCTGCCCAGCGCTTGGCAGGATGTCTCCCCACCACCACCTTTAATCGTAGTCTTTGCTCGATTTCATTAATTTGGTGGCTGGCTCTGCAGACTGTGCATCTGTTTTCGGGATGATAGCCTGTCTGCAGGGTAATGAATGTTGTGGGGCGTGAGCCAGCCAAGGCTCTCTCTGGCTGGATTCTTTTTCTATCTTCCCGCCAGCTGCATTTTGTTTAGGAAAAGGAAGTCTGTATCCTCTCTCTTTTTTTTTTAAATGAAGGACCGAGACATCTGTTATTAGTTCAGCTATGTTTTTACATAAAAGCGTGTTTTATTATCTCTCCAAGACCCTGGCAGGCTTATCGTACGCTTGTTAACAATGAAATCAACTTTATGTGTTTGGCTGTTGTGTGCTAGGACCAATAGCATTGTGCTGCATCAGAATCCGTCTATCTGCACTGACTGGATCGAGTGAACCCCAAAAGTCAGGAGGAGCAAATAATTCAGTGTTACTGAGTGAGATTGTAGAGGGACAAGAATGAATTTTGCGCACAAAGAAGTTGAGATTTGGGTATGCAGATGAGCAGACCCTGCTGACATAATCTGTCCTTATTGTCCTGTTTTGGATTGTACGTTTGGACTGTTCTGCTCCAGTACTGGGCTGCTCGGAGAGTGGGTGAGGGCTGGTGGAAGCACCCTGCCATGGGTGTTCTAAGGAATTGGCAGTGCTTGATCACACCAGACAGCTTCCACATTATAAAATGAGGTCTGGGTGGGAAGAAGAGACTTATTCTCCCTCTCCAGACCCTTTATTGGACACCCTCAAACTTGGGGGTGTCCAATAAAGTTGATGAACTGCAGATTCCTGAGAGACAAAAAAACTGGTGAGACAAGGCCTGGGGAATTACAGGTTCAGATCCCCATTTGCCATGGAGCTTACTGGGTAGAGTCTGTCTCTCTCTTTCTCTCAGCTTAACCAACCGCACCATATTGTTAAGATAAAATGGAAGAGTGGAGAACTACGGTATATTAATTTATTTTTAGATATACGCAGCCTCTTCTGAGAGCTGCACTTTCTTTTTAACTGTGTGTTCCTCTGAGCTTCTTGGAAGACAGGCAGGAAAAGAATGTAATAGTAAATAATATTAACTTTTTCCACACAACACTATAATTTGCTGCTGTAAGGCGTGGCAGTGCCTGTTAACTTAGATTGCTTTAAAAGTGGTTTAAGAAAGTGTAGGGA